CTTGTTAGAGGGGTATAAATACAGCACAAACAACATTTTCCAAAAGACCAAAAAAGTGGAAAAGTATATTTTTACAAAACGCATTTGACTAACAGGTCGAACAACAAATGTTCTTAAACCCTGCTGACTGCCATTGGCGATTGCCAAATAAACGGATCACCGATGTAATAAATGGATCTTAAATATAAATTTTATACTAAACAGAAAACAATAAACTTGCGGAAAAGATGATATACCGCAAACAAAAGGTGCAAAGGTTTTTGTACACCATATCCGGATTTCGACAATTAATGTCTCTTCAGTGATGTTAGGAATCGAAACGGTATTTGGAAAGCCATACAATTTACCTCAATTTAGGATAGACTCTTGAATTTTGAGGAGTCAAAATAGGATGAACGGACCATATAAACCCGAAGGCAAATATAAAACAAGCCCAAACGAAAAAATATAAACAAGTCTAAATTGAAAACAACGTTCAAACCTATGATTGCGTTGGATAAAAACCGCAATTTTAATACGTGTGCATGCAAAACAAATTTCTTGTTAGAGGGGTATAAGTACAGCACAAACAACATTTTCCAAAAGACCAAAAAAGTGAAAAAGTATATTTTTACAAAACGCATTTGACTAACAGGTCGAACAACAAATATTCTTAAACCCTGCTGACTGCCATTGGCGATTGCCAAATAAACGGATCACCGATGTAATAAATGGATCTTAAATATAAATTTTATACTAAACAGAAAACAATAAACTTGCGGAAAAGATGATATACCGCAAACAAAAGATGCAAAGGTTTTTGTACACCATATCCGGATTTCGACAATTAATGTCTATTCAGTGATGTTAGGAATCGAAACGGTATTTGGAAAGCCATACAATTTACCTCAATTTAGGATAGACTCTTGAATTTTGAGGAGTCAAAATAGGATGAACGGATCATATAAACCCGAAGGCAAATGTAATACAAGCCCAAACGAAAAAATATAAACAAGTCTAAATTGAAAACAACGTTCAAACCTATGATTGCGTTGGATAAAAACCGCAATTTTTATACGTGTGCATGCAAAACAAATTTCTTGTTAGAGGGGTATAAATACAGCACAAACAACATTTTCCAAAAGACCAAAAAAGTGAAAAAGTATATTTTTACAAAACGCATTTGACTAACAGGTCGAACAACAAATGTTCTTAAACCCTGCTGACTGCCATTGGCGATTGCCAAATAAACGGATCACCGATGTAATAAATGGATCTTAAATATAAATTTTATTCTAAACAGAAAACAATAAACTTGCGGAAAAGATGATATACCGCAAACAAAAGGTGCAAAGGTTTTTGTACACCATATCCGAATTTCGACAATTAATATATATATATATATATATAAAGCGCCTAGAATATATATATATTTATATATATGTTTATTTATTTATACAATTCCTCATGGTATTAAGTTACACATATACCATTCTAATTCCTAGCTAATTCGTCAATTCCAAGGGCAAGCCGAAGGACATAATAGCCTTTTTTAAAGTTTGTGATTTGTCCAATGTTCATTTCGTTCGATTCTCTGTCATTAGTCAGTACTTCAAGTGTTGCCACTGTGTTGAGCATGCTTGTTATATTGATACTAATGCTAATATTTAATTTCCCTAATCATAGCGCTCTTAGCAAATACATATAAGAACATATACAGATGATACAATTATAATAATAATTTTTTAAACACATATTCTATACAATTAATTTTCAAACAAATAAAAGATGTGGGATATATTTCAATGAGACAGCAACTTAATGAAACATTAATTCAAAAGTAATTAAAAACGGTATTCAACAAAAGACATGAATAAAGCTATATCAATCTCTAGTTAGTCTTAGAGTTTAAAATACATTTGAGCAAAGTCATTCCGGGATTATCACAGATTATTCTCCAAATGACAAATAATTATCATGTATGAAAAAGTAAAAGACAATAACTGCCTTTGAACAGACACAACAAGTGGCGGGTTATTAAATAAAGATTCTAACACTGTATCGAGTGTGAAACGATATTTATTCACTCGAGACAGTTAAATTTCAAATTTAAAACGCGAGGGTCGCCGAGCATTTTAAATATTTAAAATTTAACTGTCGGGAGTGGATAAATATCGTATTGCACAAGATTTGGTGGTGGAATCTATTTCTCTTATGATTTTTAAACGATATACATACAAACTCAATCCTTCTTTTTGAATGATCTGCAAAAAGATGTGTTCTATCTATGTGACGTCACCAGACACGGTCACCTTTTTTCATGACGACACAATAGAAAATTCAAAGGAAAGCAAGAACATTTGACGTCATAATCGAATTTTGATCAATGAAGAACTGAGTTCAAACGAATCACACGTTGATAAAATAAAAATAATCAACAGGTCAGGAAAAGTATAAATCGTGTAAGAATTAGAGAATAGTTTTAATTACATTTTAATCTATCCTCCATTAAATCTGGAAACGTTGAAACAAAAAGGTGCATCGCTGTACTAAAATTGCGTACATGTTTGGTCTCTAGATGATATAGTTGTTTCATTGGCTATCATAACACACTGTTGTTATTTTTTTCACAAATTAATGCAATGCAAATTTCAGTAGATGATAGATTTCATAAAGAAATGGTATCAACAGTAAAACAAGACCACCTGGTCTTGTGTATTTGATTGACCGATAAAAAAACAACATGTTTAACCCCGCCACGTTCTGTATGTATGTGCCTGTCCCAAGCCAGGAGCCTGAAATTCAGTGGTTGTCGTTTGTTGCTATGTTACATATTTGTTCTTCTCATTATTTTGTACATAAATTAGGCCGTTAGTTTTCTCGTTTGAATTGTTTTACATTTGTCGTTTTGGGGCCTTTTATAGCTGACCATGCGGTATGGGCTTTGCTCATTGTTGAAGGCCGTACGGTGACTTATAGTTGTTAATTTCTGTGTCATTCGGTTTCTTGTAAAGAGTTGTCTCATTGGCAATCATACCAAATCTTCTTTTTTATATCAATATGTGATATAAACATCACAATTACAATTGTTAATGCGATTTCTTCATTTTTTTCTGTTGTTGTTCATCTTGATTTGTATTTTCTTTGTTGATTTATCAGATTTAACATCCTGTAAATTACTGCTACCTAAATTTTATTTATAGTTAGTTAAATATTACTTCTTCTCCGGAGTCGCTATCTCTGCTGGTGGACCGTAAGTCCTCGAAAATGTTACTAGCCCGATAGCCAGTACCTCAGCAGCGGTATGAAAATACGGATGTTGTTATACTTTTGTTAAATTTAGCTGTTATAAAATTGAAAATCATTTAATTAAAGAAATGTTTCTCTCTCATGTATAGATCTTTGTCCGGGTTTCCTAACCTTTGGGTCCTGTTTGAGTCGATTATTGAAATATTCAAAATAGGGATCATCCCAAACATCTCATATTTTTTATGAACTATTTACTTCTATCAAACTGAATTAGGGATATTCATCAATACATAAAGGGCATCAACAATCCATGGGATAACCATTCATGATTAAAATAAATTGATAACGAATAAGGATATCCCTAAAAGAATGAATGATATCGGTCATTAATTAAGGATGAAATAATGGATCTCATTTAAGGTACCCTTTAAGTTAAAGATTTATGGATTATCATTAATTCATTTAAGGATATCCTTAATTTATCTAAATTCTACTCAATTGTCCTTAAATAATGTAAATCATAGATAAATCATATCGTTAGATCATTTATGGGAATGTTCAAAGCATTCAAAGATAAAAATTTGTTAGGGATATTCGTAATTTTTTTCAGGATATCCGTTATTTTATTAAATGAAGGATATCATAAATGCAGCTTATTATGGATGTCATCATTAAGGGTGACTTATATTTGTTAGATTCTACGTCAAGTGGTCTCTGGTAGAGGATCGTCTCATTGGCAATCATATCACATCATTTTTTTTTTATTGTTTTATGAAGGGTATCCTTCATTTTTTGAGGATATCCATAAATCATTTAAGGATATCACAAATGAGTTTGTTGTACTTTTAATTCATCTAAGGAGTTAATGATTGTACTAAATTCTTTAAAAGATATCAATAAATCATTAATTATCATTTATCTATTGATATAATGATTAGTGATAACCATTCATGATTAGAATAAATTAATAACGAATATGGATATCCCTTAAAGAATGAATGATATCGGTCATGAATAAAGGATAAAGGATGAAATAATGGATCTCATTTAAGATATACTTTAAAAATACCCTTGAAATTAAAGATTTATGGATTATCATTAATTCATTTATGGATTATCATTAATTCATTTATGGATTATCATTAATTCATTTATGGATATCCTTAATTTATCTAAATTCGACTTAATTGTCCTTAAATAATGTCCTGAGTGTTCTTGCATTTATTTGTACTGTATTCCTGTCACGTAATGTTGTCATTTTAGCGGTATCTTTAACATTGCCATATAAGCGGGAGGTTTGGCTAGCCATATAACCAGGTTCAACCCACCATTTTTCCTAAAATGTCCTGGACCAAGCCAGGAATATGGCAGTTGTTATCAAATAGTCCGTTTATATGTATGTTGGCGTTTGTTTTTGTAGCAGTTCAGTGTTTCTGTTGTTCCGTTGTTTTCCTCTTATAGTTGATGTTTTCCCCCTTAGTTTTGGTTTGTGATCCAATTTTGTTTTTGTTAAATCGATTTATGACTATTGAACAGCGCTAAACTAATATTGCCTTTATATATTCTTAATTTAGAACTTAGAAAACTTAATCAAACATTGAAGACCTGGTTTATAACCGAAAAAGACTAAAAAGTATTGCAATAGCTGGCAAGAAAGTAGAGCTATGCATAAAGGAAACATATTCTTAAAGCTCGAAGATTTTCTTTAGTTTTCACCACTGCAGAAAAGTCATATTATCAAACGGGTTGATTGCTAATAAATAAGTATAATAAAAAGTAGTAATCGATTTATTTTGATGTGTACGTGCCATATACGCTTAAATAATAAGATATAACAACATAAATAACAACCATAAGATAACAAAATATATACACAGTGTTTAAAAATACCATAGAAATGAAAACAAATCGACATTACGTTTGTGTTTACCAATTGAAAACAAAATACATTCCAAGCCTCAAAATGACAATTATTATTTTCATTCTGCTTCATATGAATCCTGATTGATGAAACTAAACATAACATACGTATTACAGATCTAAGGAGTTATCTACCTTTCCTATAAAACATCACTATATCATTGATGAAACTAAACATAACATACGTATTACAGATTTAAGGAGTTATCTACCTTTCCTATAAAACATCACTATATTATTGATGAAACTAAACATAACATACGTATTACAGATTTAAGGAGTTATCTACCTTTCCTATAAAACATCACTATATTATTGATGAAACTAAACATAACATACGTATTACAGATTTAAGGAGTTATCTACCTTTCCTATAAAACATCACTATATTATTGATGAAACTAAACATAACATACGTATTATAGATTTAAGGAGTTATCTACCTTTCCTATAAAACATCACTATATTATTGATGAAACTAAACATAACATACGTATTACAGATTTAAGGAGTTATCTACCTTTCCTATAAAACATCACTATATTATTGATGAAACTAAACATAACATACGTATTACAGATTTAAGGAGTTATCTACCTTTCCTATAAAACATCACTATATCATTAAGAATGAATTTTAGTTTCCTTTTAAGGTGGTACCAAACACCTTGACTAAAACTAGTTTGGCTCGTTTAATTTTCATAAAATTTTGACAAAATATTTACTTTGACCCTTTGACAAAAATATAAAAATTCAAAAAACTTGAACCACACACTTCATCGGAAAAATTTCATTGGATAGATAGCAGTTTGACAAACACTAATTTTGATCATTGAGAAGCTTAATATTTCCTTAACATTAAAACGTGATTAAAACGTACCTTAAATGATTGGTAGATGTTCTATCGTGCCATGATTATAAATCAGAATAAAACGAGATGTGGGAAAACTTCACGAGATAGTAACCAAACGACAAAAAATAACCAAATCAATAACAGGGCAACAAACTATTTGTTTGAACAACTGAAAGATTTATAAATAATATGTTAAACTTATGATTCACTTGAAGATATAAAAAATGTAAAAACATTTAACTTCCAAAGAGGCTACGTGTACAATCAAGGTTCCTTATCTTTTTGTATTTCCAATGGTATTTTTAAACATAGTAAAATTTACCCGTTTTTTATCATTAAGAAAATAAAAAATAAACATTAATAACTGATAAAATAAAAACTAAAATCAACTAAACAAAGCACTTCATTTAAATTGAAATTCAGCTTAAAAACAAATTTTCCAAAAGGCAATCAAAACTTAAAAATGAAAGACCGACTAACAACAAGTGCAGACAAACGCTATATAATAATAAATTATAATGAAGTCTGATAATAAGACTCTTAAGAAAGTACAGGGTAATGGGGAGGTAACAAAACAGTAAATATGTATAAAAATGTAAATCAAACACTATATTATAATAAATTAAAATGAGGTCTGATAGTATAACTCTTATGAAAGTCGATGGTAAAGGGGAGGTAACAAAACGGTAAATATGTATAAAAATGTTTAAAAAATTTTAATAGGTCGTTGCTTAAGACAATGTTCATATTTATAAATAAAAGCTTGGTTCTAACGCTCCCAGTTTCAATGTAAATTTTGGTTATCCAAATATATATATATATATCTGTTTATTAATGCTGACAAATATATTTGTATAACTTTTTGTTAGACTGTAGTGGTTGTCGTTTGATGCTGAATATCATATATGTTTTTCGTTCATTATTCTGTACATAAAACAGGCTGTTAGTTTTCTCGTTTGAATTGTTTTACATTAGTCATTTCTATGCCAACCAGAGCTGACTCTCATTATGAGTTAAACTTATTGCTGATAGCCTTAAAGCTGTTAATTTCTGTGTTATTCTTTCTATTGTTGAGAGGTGGAGAGATGTCTTATTGGAAATACCATCTCTTCTTATTTTTATATAGTTAAATCAAATAACGATAGTTATGTCACGTGTATCGATTCACAAAAATGTTGTTTTCGTTTTTATGTTATTTGTTTATATTATGACATGAAGATCATCTTTTCCATTAGCTATCTGTAACCGACCACATTGCTTTATGGTATCATTTCATCTCTTCAATCTGAATTCTTGCAATTGTGACGCTCAACTTTGGTTTTGTTTGATTTTTTCTGTTTTGATGGGCTCCCACTTTTCGTAATCTTCTTATACTTAGGCATTGGATATTTGTACTGAAACACATGCATTGTTGTTGGATAGGACCATTTCCTATCTCGGGTGTTATACTTTAGGATGTTTACTGCTAATGTACTGGCAATATACATTGAATGCTTTATGAAAAAGGTGGCGTCTGCTAAATGGAAACCATCTTAGACCAGGAATGTCTTCACTGTGCCTTTAACAAAAGCCCTACATATTGGACACTTCCGCAAAGCTGGTGCGCAGTCGGAACAACTAACTAAATGTCCACAAGGGAGGAAAGCTATAGTGGCATCGAACTCCAAACATATTTTACAAAGGCGTTGATCTCGTAACTGTCTATTTTCTTCAACTAATAACTCCGCATCTGCAATAATAAGGTTCAAAGTAGAAAATCACCGTTTAAAAAATCGGTTCAAATCTTAAAACCTGAAGATGTCTTATGATCATTTTGATGATACAGCTAACCAAGAAAAAGGTTTATCTGATTGAAAGTTGAATAGAGGTACATTTTTAAATGGAGAGAACGCATTTTCTTGAGTCTTAATACTTTGGAACCTTTTTAGAATCCAGTTATAAAAATGAATTAATATTTCTGACTTACCGTCCAAATTTGATTCACTCAAATCATTAATAAGGGGTTCAGGTATATCATTTTCTTGTGTGGTTGCATTAAGTGACAAGTCATTAGTGGATGTATCGTTACGAACTACATTAGCTGAGTCAGCAGAACTGTTCTGTTGATCATTCTCTAGTAAAACCGTCATGATATCAGTTGCTGTGAACGTTCCACCTACACAGTATAAAAGATACATGTACATATGCTTATTAAAGAGAGGGACGAAAGATACCAGAAGGACAGTCAAACTCATAAACTTATTAAAAAAACAACATTGACACGTCTATTGTCTGCTTAGGATAGTCAATAGTAATCAGCGACTGTACAGGATATACTTGTTGTTTGTTAGTTCTTCTTGTCGATATAATGAATTTCTATGCAACTGTCATAGTCCACCATTTTCTACATAAGTAAATACCTGTACCAAGTCAGGAATATGACAGTTGTTATCCATTCGTTTGATGTGTTTGAGCTTTTGATTTTGCCATTTGATTAGGGACTTTTCGTTTTGAATTTTCCTCGGAGTTCAGTATTTTTGTGATTCAACTTTTTATAGAAGTGAGAGATTTAACTAGCTATAAAACCATGTTTAATCCACCATTTTCTACAAAAGTAAATGCCTTATATGAGATATCAGGAATATGACATTTCTTATCCATTCGTTTGATGTGTATGAGCTTTTGGTCTTGCCGCTAAGCTTGATAAAGTACTTTCCATTTTGAATTTTCTTTGGAGTTCGTTACTTTTGTTATTTTACTTTTTACTAAAGATTACTCGCTATCGTTCAACATTCAACTCATAGTGAAAATATTGTTATACATATGCATTATCACATTGACATACTTTTTTTAAAGCATGGATACAAAGTAAGAAATTATGTTTTAAATTATTTTAACAATCAACTTTATATGTTCAAAATTATCTGAATGTAAGAACTACAAAGAAAACTCTGGCTTATCTTTAATATAACGTATATTTAAACGTAACTACAGTAAATTCAGAATTTTTTGCGATGTTGTTATCATTGCGAAAATTGCAATAAGATAAATGTCGCCAAAATTGCGTCGACTGTTCAACAAACGCCAACATAAATGCAAGCAATAATTTCTGAAGTTCCTAAATTTTGTTCGTCGCCTCTTAACCATATAATATGTATGCTTATATATAATGCAGCAAACTCTTTTCATGCGAACCTAATTGAAAGCTAAAAAGAGTTACTTTCCGCTTTTTTATCACTATTATCTCAAATACTCAACATTAATTTTTATTACTTGTGTTATTCCCCAAAAATTAAGAAATAAGTTAAAGAATATACCTGGTTTATCCGGTAACAATTGCTGGATAACTCGAAGCACCTGTTCTTGCGTGTATCCCATCTCTAAGACACTCCTTGCTGCTGCTGTATCAAGATAGCTAGTACTGCTACTTTGTTGTGGATTGCTGTTTGAATGTAAATGGGGGACATTTTGAGTTGTTTCTGTCGTTTGAAAGGATGTTATTTGGTCACTTTTCTTACTTTCTTCTTTGTTCTTAAATCAAATAATATTAACATGTAAATGTGAAATGAATTTCTAATAATTTAAATGATGCAAATGGAGATATTGAAACTGAATGTTATGATTTAACTTAACTAAATATCATGCCTCTTTAATTGACTTACCAGTTGTTCATGTTTTTCTTGGACGGCTTTTATAAATCTTTCACCCTTGTTCTGACGTAGGTAAGTGCACTTCGGAAACCATCTAGCATGTTCCACCCATGGATCATCACCGGCTTCCCAATTTCTAAGTCCACCGCCACAGAAGAAACATCTGGTGTAGTCCTGGTAACCAGCAAACAGGAAACCAGCTGTTGCCATTTGTTTTGGTGTCTGGTCTAAATAGGAAGGCCATCCCTGAAAAGAGCTGATTCTCACTTGTAAAGCAGCGTAATTCGGGTATCTGGGATTATCGAAACCAATACCAAATGAAGAAGTGTCATTATTACTTATTCGGCTTGAACTTGTTGATTCATAACAGCCACATGCTCCATGTCTAAGTGTGTTATTCACTTCCGGTTCTAAGTATGTGTCTTTTTTGTTTTCTGTATGTTCCAAATTGGTATTGACTGCATTCCTGCTTGGTTTCTGTTCCACATATTTGATAGTATCATTTCCAATTAGTTGATTGTGACCTGTTGCTCCGTTTGAATTAATTGTAGAATTTTGTGTTTTGTGGCTTAAAGTTCGGTCATCAGACAAACCACCACTTTGTTGTTTTCCTATAGATTGTTGTAAATTTATGCTTGGTATGGAAACAGATTGTGTTGGTATATTACTCAATCTTGCATCCCCAGAAGTCATATGTTGCTGTCCATTTGTAACAATATTACAGTTACGAAGATGTGGACATGAGGGTGAGAGTCGTCTGTGTATTTCTAATGGATTATCGCCACGTTTCCAGTTCCGGTATGTTATTCCACATGCGTAACACTGTACGTTATCATCGTTTCCTGTGAAATAAAATCCTGCTTTAGATAGATTACTTACAAAAATGTCTACTGATCGAGGAAAATTGTTAAATGAATGAAGTCGTAGAAGACTATTTGACATGGATTCGTCCGTAGATATTGCACTACCAGAGGACAAGCTATCAAAATAAGTATTCAAAGTCACTGGCAATATATTTAGATACTGCTTTGGTATCCATTGAAGCATGAATAAGTAGTCTAACAAGTCGAACAGACCTTTGGAACGTTTAGATGACTCTTTATTGGTTTCTACTTCAAATTTCAAGTAATTATGAAATTTTGTACAAACGTTTTCTTTCCTTTCCGACTGGACATCTATTAATGTTTCCACTTCGTCTAATGTTTCTTTGATTGTGTTAAGTTCTTCTTGCAAGTTCGTCGTAATTCCCGGCTTTGCGTTGCTGTCGAATAATTCTGTCTTCATTGCAGATTGAAAAACCTCTATATTAGTGTTCGTCTGTCGCATCAATTTCAGATGAATTCGCGACGTACTTGATTTCATTTTTGATATACTTTGTCGTAACTGAACATATTCATGTTGGTCGAGCTCACCCTTGCAAGTAATTACACTATTAGACCTTTTATATATCTGCTTTGAAAGCGTAACAGAGAGAGTGATCATATCTGGGTTTTGCACACAAGCTTCCTCTGATCGTGGTGACAAACCTGTAGACTGTTTACACATTTCTGTTCTCTTTGATATAATTTCTAAAAAAAAAAAATATGAATTCTTATATGATATTTTGTAGATAACTATGTAAATTACATACAATGGCCAATCATTATTTGTTAATGTTATGAATATGACTTTCTTGAATAAACACTCCTAAATATTAAAATAATTTTTCTTCATGCACAAATTCATCAAACTTTTCACAAAAATATCTTACAACAAAAACTTATTTCTTCTTGTTAGATTGTTTATGAAATAATTCGCTGGCTTTTAATTGTGTACTCCAGGTGTGCGTTTCATCGACACGGGAAAATAAGCGGTTTAAATTTCTTTGTATTAGATGAGCTTTTAGACAAATCGTGCTTCGAAGACATGTTTGAGGCCAAAACAAAACAAAACAAATTAAAATCAAATGCGAGCATCAAAGAACATAACCAAAGAGTTTTAAATGGACGATGAATCAAATTTGTGAACAGGGGTTACTTTCCCATGTTTCCCTAATTTGAAATAAACTTCAACGTTTTATCACTGCATATTTCCTAAAACTAACTAATATCTCTATTTATATAAAGTAACCAAAGACATGGTTTTAGAGATTGTGATACCATCATAGACAAAGCTATACCGAATTCGTGGTACATGTAGTTATGAATTCTAACAGAACTTGGTTCACTTAACCATTGGGCATTTCCACAAATGATGTCGTTTTCGTAATGCAAAACTTTTATTAAGATCTAAAGGGGGAACTAAAGGTGATGGAATCAAGAAGGACGAGAGGTTAGCCGAACTTGGTAAAAAAAAAACATAGTTTTTGATTAGGGAGACACATTCTAAAATTTCAAAATATTGTCTGAGTTGTGATACTGCATAATTCAAAAAAACAATATCCATATTTTCATGTCACTACCGAGCAAATTCCATACCACCTTTTATGTTATAAAAACTGTGGCGGACCAGGGGGTTCCGGGGGTTGGAACCCCCCTCTTTTCTTTGGACGATCAATGCATTTGAACGGGGACATATGGTTGGAACCACCTCCCCCCCCTTTATCCTGGGTTGGGAGGCCCCTTTTAAAAATGGCTGGATCCGCCCCTGAAAAGGTCCAAAAATGAAAAATGTAAAACAATTCAAGTAAGAAAAATTAACGGCCTGGTTTAAGTACAATGCAGTAAACGAAAAACAAATATACAGCAACAAACTGAATTGTAGGCGCCTGTTTATACGGCTCGTCAAAACATAGTTTATATTTTATATTATATATAATTTGCATCCTTGTACTGAAGTTTGATATGCTGTCAAAACAGGTAAACATTCACACTAGAAAAGCATGTACACACGTTTAAATATATTTAAAGAGACTAGGTTTACCTTTTGTAGATTATGTTGGTGATTCCCTCACTGACTCATATTCATAATGACGACAAATTGAATTTACTGCTACATATATACTAGTATGACGTAATATCTTATATTTAGTTTGACGTAATATCCTATATTTAGTTTGACGTCACTCCCTTATAGTGATTCAAGATCACATGACATAAACAATAACAAATTTTGAAAACACCCACGTATCAGCACGTATCTATTTTTATCTAGGGTAAAGGTACAGATTTTCGCTTCGTTTAAAGAGCAATGAATATATGTATCGCTTATTATTCATTTATTATGACAGTATGCGAGTATACTCTAGAAAATGTAGCTGTATCGTGCTTTCTCAACAAATTTGATAACAAGTATAAGTTTGTTTTTCGTAAATTGTTTTGTCAATGTAGTTGTTTCATAATAATAATGTCGAGGCCTTATATAGCCGCCTATACGGAATGGGTTTTTCTTATTGTTGAAGGCCGTACGATTGCTTATTGTTGAAGGCCGTACGATTGCCTATTATTGCTAACATCCACTTCATTTGAAATCTGGTGGATAGTTGTTATTGGCAATCATACCACATCTCATTAGTGTTATACATATCACTTGGAACATATTCAATCATTTAGGATAAATTACGTGAAAGTTTTCTGAATTATAAGAAAGATTTAAGAGAACATACTCGTAAGTCAGTCAAAGGTGGACTTATTTCTCAATAATTTCTGTTGGTATAAAAAAAACTATTTAGATTAAAAGAATTTTAAGATAGGCAAGCACTATGCTAGATCAGAATAGATATACAAAAAACTACATGTATATAGATAAATCCGTGACAAAGGTTATTAAAAAAGAAGCATGTTGGATAAAGTTGAAGATGAACACAATTTTGTATGTGAATGTCCCCTTTATAATCTTTTGAGTTCTATGAAAAGATTTTGAAAAGTTCTAAAAAATTCGAAGTGTTAAACACAGGTGCAAAGTTCAATTGACTGCTTATTCAAGAAGACCTAGATGTATTGAACATTATTGGAACTTATATTAATAAATGTTTTGAACTCAGATCCTTGTTATATGTAACATATTAAGAAAAATTGGCTTTTAATATCAGATTATTACATGGCATTTTTCATAAAATATGTATTATCAGCACAAGGTTCAATATCAGCCAAAGAGCCGAAGCATGTGATAAGTTTTTCATATCAGCCCGCTAAACACCATATCGGAAAATATGGAATTCACGTAAATTTAATGCTTTTATTATACTGTAAAATTTATAAGTTATTTACTCTAAGTATATGATAATATTTGATATCATCTGTTTTATTACTTGCTTATGGCTCCAATAATAAAATTATTTTCATATTAGATAAGATTTTCAAAATCATTTGTATCTCTCAATTTATATAATATAAAAATTCATTGTAATAAATTACTTTGCTCATCATGTGACTTTTATTTAGAATAAAAATATCTATCTTTATGTAGTCAAGCAGTATGCACGTTTAAATCAACTTATCGAAATCCTTGTCTTTTGCACAGGCATATTTTGTCTCTAAAATAATGCAAAAATTATAAAAAGTATTTCACCAAAACCTTTTAGTTTTTCTATGAATATAACTTATCTTCAATGTAGTAAATTTGTAAAAATCTTACTGTTGAGGTAGTTCTAATGGTAAGGAGTTTCTATTTTTAGACACAAATTTTCCCATTATATCAATGCCATTCAGAATCTCTCTTGACTTGACGTACATGTATAAGATGAGATAACTCCATCACTAACAAGTATTAATGAAATTGACAACCTCTGAATCGAAATATAACAAAAGTTCAAGACCGAGTGTCATTTAAAAGATGAAAGTTATAGTAAGGTATATAGTATAGGTAATTAGTTATCATACATGTAAATGTAATACATCTATGGGTTATAGGTTTACATACAGAAACACTGTTCACGTTCAAATGAAGCTAAAGGTTACATTTTTATAATTAAATATGAGAAGGTGTTACAAATTAAACGAAATGCTTTCAGAAATGAAATTAAAAAAAAGTAAAATTTACCCGTAATTGTTATCCCTATCTATTTTTTTAAAAACAATGCTTAAAAATTACTGTTTCGTATCCTTGATTTTATTTTTATAAGGTGACCGGTGATTTGAGAACACTAGAAAAGTAACTCTCACTCAAATTAGGTTATTAGTAAATAGTTAATGGCATAATTAATTACAAAACTTAATTTTAACCACCGTGAGGGAAAAAAATATTATAAGAACGTAAAATCCAGTGTTTTGGTCATTTACCTAGAACCAAAATAATATTTCAAAAGCATAAATTATTTTGACAGGGAAAATCATATGCCCAATAAAACAGACAGCAATTAGGGGGGGAGGGGGACGACGAAACGACAAACAACAATTACAAAACATAAAATAAATAGCTAAATATTGAACAACACAAATTTGAAAACCCACTAAAAATCAAGGTTAAACTCTGGTGCTTCAGAAGATTAAGCAATTCCTGCTCCACGCGTCACACCCATTGTGTTGCTCCTATAATAAGATGCATCCTTGCAATATTCTGTTTTTTTGATATATACACTGTACATACAACAAATAATTGATCCTATGTGACATTCCAGTATATCTGTAATCCTATCCAATCACAATTGTGTTAACCACATACAACCATTCTTCAGTCTGGTGACTTAGAGGTCTTACAAATACTTTATATGTTGGGCCGAAGGTGATCAACTATACTAGGTGTTCCCCGAAATACTTAGATTACACGCAGTTTTAGATAGGTGGTTTCATACTTTATCATTGAACCACTGATATTTATATACTAATGAAATAGGACTTCTCAACACGGAAAAAACTATTGTATTCACAGATCATAAAACTCATTGAAAATTCAACAAAAATAACCGTTGGATTTCTTCCGCATTCCTCTCTATACTTATGAAGGGCTTGCATTGAATCAAAAACTTCTCAATGAAAATTGTATATGACCTACTACAAATTGTTCAACAAATATGATATAAATGATAAGTTAATATGGATAGATAATTTATTTTTCTTATAACTTGAAAACTGACAATATCATGACAAAATATGAAACCGGACGGATACAATAACAACAGTATACAATACAATATGAATAAAACTAAAAACTAGAAACACAAACCCCTTAAAACCGATAATGAACTCGGAAGCTCCGGAAGTAAGGAGCATCTCCAAATTTAGTAGGCATTTTCAATTTCGATATATAAATTTACTTATTTTTATTAGAAAACATGTAATATTCTGCAGAAGAAATACATGCATATTTCCTTGTAACATAATTAGTAAATTTCCTTTGATATTCGAGTACGTTAACTTCCGTTATTTACAGAGGAGTGAAAAAACTTTTTTTTTAATTATTGCACTATCGTTATGCGCTGTTGACCGCTGTCATAGGAAAGGCAAAGAGTAAGTGGAGCTTTGACCAGTGCAATAAATTCCATTCCAAAGTTTGTTAATGCATTGTCATCCGACTCAACCTCCTTAAACTAGTAAAAAAAAATAAAAACACAAAATATAATATTTCAATGGCCGTGCAATTTCCTTATAAATTTGAATAAAGAAAAGTGCAGATAAAACAAATTTACAAACTATTACTTCGGTGGTTTGGGACTTCATTTACTTTTGGGTGACAGAACTAATTTAAACTTTCTAAATTTAACCTCTTTTGCATGTACCTTCAAATTTATAGAAATACCAAAATCAAGACAAGACAAGAACTCAAGTACCTTCTTCAATAAAATTGAGAATGGAAATGGGGAATGTGTCAAAGAGACAACAACCCGACCAAAGAGCAGAAAAAAGCATTTTTAAGGAACACATTGTCCTTTTTCTCCATTTTCTAGCAACCTTGCCCATTGTATTTAAATGTAGAAACTGGTTCCCATCCGGCCTCTTTTGATGTGGTACCTTTTTTCATCGTGCCATTATACATTCAAGAAATATATGTCACTGGATGTTCATCATTTCATCCACTATACACAATGTTTTTCTACGTGAATTGAGCATGCTTCAAATATTTGTCACTGAATATTACGAAAATTATGTATTCAACAATAACTCAATTAATCGATCTTTTCCTGCTGTTTTCAAAGGAATAATACTTAAAACAGTTTTCCTTTTTATCACAACTATGAAACTTCTTTTAAAGCAGGCAACATGGATTATAGAGGCCCCTCATTGGAGTGTCCAAGTAATCACATAATCACACTTTTTTGCCAATATAATCACAAAATCATTAATTTTTTTTTTAAACAAGATAATCAAAAATACAGTCCTAGATTATCAAATAAAAAAATAATCATGAAATATTTGGTCTGGTAATTAAATAATCACTATAAAAACGGCCAAGTAATCACATAATCAAAAACCCCATGAGGATGTTCATTTAAAATACAAATCCTAACTGAAAAATGTGAAAACAAATGCTGCTCTGAGCCTTTATGTAAAAATAAAAGACAATACTTCATAAATATGTGTATGTTCAAATAAACATATTTCATTATAAAAAGCAAAGTTTTGGCTTCATTTGTAAGCGTTTAACCTTTGACAAATGTCATCTTCAATTAATATTCTAAATTATATATATTAACACGCATTCCTCATTAACATATTTGATGCACTCATGCTGTATGCGCTTCTTGTATTAGAAACGTTAATTTGTTAAATCCACACAACTGATTTTGTGTCATGGATGGATACTCCATATCTTTTATTTTTCTATTTGTATATATAACTTGTTTGCATTCTCAAAATTATTCTGTAAGAATCAGGTTCATCTGTAGGTGAAAGTTACGATTACCTTGGCATGTGAATTGTAAATAACAACTCCCCTTAGCTGGTATATATAGCATTGTTTTTGTACAACACATAGATAGTATATGCGAGATGAGTCGGACATTTATTCTAAGATAAGTATAAATTATATCGCTTATGTTTTGTTTTATTCGAATCTCTTTTACATAAACGACTTGATTGTCTAC